TGTGATCTAACTTGTTTGCATTTTTATTCATCAAGGATATATATTACAAAAGTAGCTAAATAGCCACATGTTATACAGGTAATCAAAGGGTCGAAGATAATTGTATGCGGTTAATCAGTAATGTAGTGCGTCGGTGGCACAGAGGTAGAATGCTCGCCAACCACGCCTCATGTGGTTTGGGGTTCGATCCCAGGTTACAGACGCACTCCTTTACCTCACTAAGCCAGTAAGTAATAAGACTGATAAAGAGAGAAGGTTGGGAATGAGGCTAACAACCCCATCCCGTAAAAATAAACACCACTGATACCGAAACTTCAAGTCTCTAGCTTGAAGCCCTATGTTTCACTGGGAAGGTAAAGCAATAAAAAAGATGAGGCAGTAATTCATCGAAGAAGACATTGCGAAATGGTCACGATATGTCGTGAATTGGTAGAAGTTAGAATTCAAGGACCATTGGATCGGGTTCCAGTGGCTCAATGGTCTATGACCTAGCCTTGTAACCAGCAGGTCCTTGGTTCAAACTCCGGTGGGAGCCCCGAACTAGACTGACGAAACAGCTGTCCACTACTCTAGTGCTGGTTTTACAGTGGTTCTCCAACTGATGTCAGCTCATGATGAAGTCATCCATGCAATCAAACAAAATTCCTACAAAACCAATACTTGAAAAAAAAAGAAATTAGCAATGTATACAGTTTCTTGTTTGACTAGAAAATTAGATACATAACGCTAAAAAAATAGTAGTGGGGATACTTTCACCTTTAAAAACTTTAACAAAAGTCACATTGAAATGAAAAAACAACTGTTGAATAGCTTTCATAGCAATAATGGAAATCAAGCAAAACAGGTGCATTAGGGAAAATTATTAAACGGAATTCACGCTTAATATTGTTGTTCCGGTTGAAGCTAGTCAGTGGAAAGTTACTGGGCTTAAGTTTTATCCTGTTTGCACTCATAATACATATACAATATAGAATGCAGTAATCCATAATATAAAAAATTTCCGTTTAGCCGAAACCTATGTCTAAAAAAGATTCTGTAAATTTCGATAAAGAGAGAAATAAAGACCAAATTTGCAGTATAAAATGATATCATCATTCTATTTCACAGGTTCTCATCAGCTGCTGTAGACTACCTGAAAATTACAATGGTTATAAATAATGGCAATAACATACTTCATGTTTCAATGGTAGTAGACAAAATAATATATAGGATTAACGCATCACGAATATAAGCATTACAATCGGCTTTAGTTTAAGATACTATTAATTTATATGAGCTTTCACTACTCTCAAGTCACTGTGGAGGTCAACAACACTCAGCATTAAAATAAGATCCGGATTTTCAACTCCAATGTGAAGTCAGTGTTACCATACGGATCAGAGACTTGCACTGAGCGTCATAAAGACCACCTCAGACAGACTGCAGACCTTCATTAACAGTTGTCTTCGCTCAATACTCAAAATCAGATGGCCGGCCAGAAAAGATCAGCAACAGCGAGGGATCTCTGGGAGCGAACCAACCAGGAACCGATTGTGAAACAAATAGGCAGGAAGAAATGGAGATGGATTGGCCATACTCTGAGGAAACAAACCATCAAGTGACATCACTAGACAAGCCATTGCTCGAGTGGAATCCGAAAGGGAAGCGGCGAGTTGGTCGTGAGTGTCAGTGTGACTTGGAGGAGGTGATGTGAAGAGGAGATGAAAACGTGTGGGCAGACTTGGAGCCAGGTGAAAACTCTAGCAGAGAACTGAACGCAATGGAGACGCACGGCTGAAGCCTTATGTTCCTCTAGGAATTAAGGGAACAATAATAATAATAATTTATATGCTTTCAAAATAGAAAAGGAGGGAGGGCGGAGGAAGAGGTAGAAAACACAAAGATCTAATTAACGGTGTTAGCCTGTAAGTTCACATAGCAACTCAAGTAGGTTATATTTCATAAGACTGAAATTCGTTCAATGAGCTGAAATCAATATTTTGGACGACTAATCAATGTAATCAATTAGCAGTTACCAAGGGAATGACAGATTGATTGCATTCTCTTTTAGTATGCATAAGTTTGGTTTGAAATGTTTGATTGTAATTGCTTCAGCAAATCATAGTAAATGTTTGCTGTCTTTTTTATACCTAATAGTTTAAAGGATTTGGAAATCTCGACGAAATGACTCGCATACACAAGGTGTCTGACAATTGAACTTTGTGAATATCTGGTTGTTTTTAGGCATAAGTTTGTTGGAATATGCTTAGAAAATTGGATAGAAGTCATTTCTTTCTGTTCTTCGAATGTGCTTGCTTCCGCAAGTGCAAATAAATTTATAAATGCATTTGGAGGTGACATTAATAGGGTACTTATCCAGTTTAGATTGACTTAAAGAGAATGTATTGCTCTACAGCAGTTACTTGAGAATGATTTTCGACGACCAGAATATTTAAATAAAGTAAATGTTAAGGTTGTTTCAGGGAAAAGGTTTTGAGACTTTTCTGTGTGACATAATTGAACTAAGGATTCTGATGGTGTGCCTATTAACTAGCACAAAGTGAGGCGCAAAAATAGTGTTGAAGCCTAGTCGGATGCATACCCGTTAAAATAAAACTTAAAACACCTGAGGTATAAGCACAGTAGAAGCACTTTAGATGCAGCTGCCGTCTTATATCATAACATTGCTTCCAGTCTAGACAAAGGGGCTAAATTTGTTCGTTGTGCCTTCCTAGACTATACATCTGCTTTTGACTCGGTCCCTAGCGACATCTTATTAAATAAACTTGCTGCAAGTCAAACAGAATGTTGGGCTGTTAACTGGTTACACTCTTATTTCTCAGAAAGAAAGCAGTACACCGTGTATAAAGGGAAGTCTTCCACTTCATTGCCTACTGAAGCTGGTGTCCCTCAAGGCGCTGTCCTTTCTCCTTTTCTTTTTTCTTTCTTCTTACATGACTTGCCTCACTCTGATGAAATAAACTTTGTGAAGTACGCTGATGATTTAACAGTTTCAATGGCTGTTAACTCCCAGCTAGATTGTACCAAAATAAATAGCTTTCTGTCGGGAGTCAGTAAATGGTCTGAGTCTAACGGTCTTAAACTGAATCCTTCTAAGTGTCAAACTGTTAATTTCAGCTTAAGATGTAAACGACAGTTAAAAGAAGCCGTCGATTCTCATGACAGTTGTAAGATTGATGACAATGATATAGGAATTAAATCAGAAATTAAGTATCTTGGACTTATTCTCTCTTCTGATCTCTCCTGGTCTTCCCATGTCTCAGCGATCTCCAGTAAAATATTCCGCCTGACATTTTACATTAAGAAGTTAAGGCACTCGGGTATAACTCAACCCCTCCTCTTACAGTTCATAAACTCTTGCATCCTACCTATTCTTCTTTATTGTTCACCCTTATTCTTTCCTGGTTTGCTTAAAAAGGACTTTGTCACAATTCGTAGAATGCTGAAGACTGTCAGTAGGATGAGTGGTGTCCCAGTGGACTACATAGTTAACGTCGTTGTCGATAGGCACTTGACTTCGTGCAGTAAATTTGCTAAAGGAATTTTGTCTGACTTGGAGCATCCACTTCACCCTCAGCTTTCACCTTGCATCTCCTCAGGTAGAACAAGAAGTAACTTCAGAAAACTGTATGCTCGCACGTCTAAGTATAAAAATTCTATGATACCATACTTGGCACGTATTTTATGTGATGAAAATAGCGTCAGGCAAGAATTGACTAACCTTTTTTCATCTAGTAAATAAACAATCTCCTCCATCCATCTTTATATACCTTCAAGTTTTACTTTTATTATTTCTATTATATTTATGGTCCTGTTGATTCTTTGTTTTCACTTTCATAATTGCAAACACCAACTTATCTCTATGACTGCTGTAATCTTTGTTTTTTCCCTCACCATATCATGTAAAGAGAACATCATATTCAATATTTTTAATCATGCAAGGATTTGTATACCGCATCGACAATACTGTGTGAAACAAGCCCACGGCAATTTCCACTTGTATTATTATCATTACCTTAGCTGCTATCATTATTATTATTTCCATTTTATATGCTGCATGGTTTTTTTGACATTACCCCTATTGTAAATGTGGAAAATTTTCTGTGTGATTAATTTTATTTATAATTTGAGGAAATTAGATGCAATATTGTGATTAATGCTGAAAATTCCATTCTGTATCACAAGTACTGTTTTTGGAATAAAGTAAATTATTATTATTATTATTATTATTATCGAAAGGTGAGCTAGGTTACTTTAATGAACTCAATGTAATCGACTTATTTTGGCCCTGATTGTATTTTTGGTACGAAAAAGGTGCACTACAGATCAATGACTGACTTGATATGATAAAATGTCAATAAATTAGTAAGTTTGCTGTCCTTTGTATGTTTAGTAGTTTGAAGGATTTGGAAATCCCAACGAAATGACCTGTATCCACAAGGTGTCTAGTAATTGCACTTTTGAGAATATTTACTTTCTTTGAGGCATAAGTTTGTTGGGATATGCTTATAAAATCAGATAGAAGTCCTTTTTTCAGTCCTTCCAATGTACTTGCTTCTGCAAGTGCACGTAAATTTATAAATGCAGTTGGAGGTGACATTGGAAAGGTAGTTTTCCAATTTAGTTTGGCTTTTCTATTTTGAAAGCATATAAATTGATGGTGACTTAAACTAAAGCCAATTGTAATGCTTATATTTCGGATGCGTTCATCTTATAATGTTTTCTCTACTACCATTCACACGTCGAAGTATGTTATTGTCATTCTTTTAAAACCATTTTAATTTCAGCTAGTCTACAGCAGTCGATGAGAACTTGTGAAATAGATTGAAATCACTTTACAAGGCAAATTTGGTCTTTCTTCCTCTCTTTATCGAAATTTATCAAGGAAATCAAACGTATGAGATTCAGTGAAGTTATTTTATATTTGTCATTGCAATAAATCAAGTGAAAGGGAGTACTACCTGTTATCCAGATGTCCTATCATTGAAGAAGTAACTTACCGCAGGTAATTGGCGCATAATATTTACATATTCTGATAATCTTTGTTCAAATCCTGGTGCGAATGCCTTTGGATCGATAGCAGCAAAGCATTGACCCTGAAAACAAAACAAAACAAAGATGACATTTTAACATAAAAATGCTAAAAGTATAAGCTTGTGTTACTTTCATCACAAGGTAATATAAACTCCACATTATTACTTCATTATAAGAAATGATTTATGAATCAATTACTTTTACCTATTGTAAGAAATTATCATTTTTGAATGCAGGCAGTTACCTAGGGTTCTAGTGGGAAGCCGTGACCAGTAGGGTGCAGCAGGTTGAAGGTGAGCACAGTTACCCATTGAAGAAGACACTGCAAAGTGGTCGCGCTATGTCATGAATTGGCGGAAGTTAGAATTCATGGGCTGGTCGCTGGATTGAGTCCCAGTGGTTTAATGGTCAACGAGCGTGCCTTGTAACCAGAAGGTTCTGGGTTCGAACCCTGGCGGTGGATGTGTACTGTTGAAGCGTCCTGCGCTCTAGGACGAAACAGCTGGCTATGCAGTACTCCCTAGTGGTTTTCCAATGATTCTATAACCGATATCAGCTCCAGCCAATCAAACAAAACGAAAGTCCCTACAAACCAATACTTGAAAATTTTTGAATTTCTTGTTGACTGATTCTAATTGGATCAAAATGCTGGATCTCTTCGTTGACATATCTGCCTTTCATATGAATTCTTTAACGACGTCTTAGAGTTAATATGATGTCATTTGGCTAGCAGTGAAATCCATAACATGTAATTCTTCATGCTTTGAAGTCGTCATTTGGATGTGGATGTATCCACATCTAATCGTTATCCAAGAGTCTCCTAGGGGTGGGGCAAGGACACGGTTTATCTTACTGCAGCAAGTAAGTACATCTCGAAGTGAAGAGTCCCATATAAGGAGGTTAGTACATTCTGGATTCCACTACTAACCACCGTCAATCAAATGACATCAAGGTTTTACTAATACTGTTATGACTTTTTCTAATGACATTGTGAACATAGAGAAGACGGAGGTGACGAAGATAACCAACGAACAGCAACAACAACCAGCACCAATCACCATCAAAAGGAGAGATTTAACAGATGTTATCTTCTTCACTTATCTAGGAATCATCATTCCAACTACAAGTGGAACGAATGAAGATGTCAGAGCAGGCCATAATCGGAAAGGCAAAATACACGTTCATTAGCCTGAAACTAGTTTGGGAATCTTAAGCACTTAGCATAAAAAACAAGACTCTCATTTTTAACATCAATATCAAGTCGGTCCTTCTATACGGGTCAGAAACTTGCACTACGTATCACAAAAAGGATTTCCAACAGCCTGTCGCATACTTTCATTGACAGCCGCCTTTCCTGGCTCCATACGGAAGATCGAATGTCAGCCAGAAAGAATTAGTTACAAGAAACTCTGTGAATAAACCAACAGGAGAGAGCTGATTGCTGAACATATATGCAGAAGGAAATGGAAATGGATCGGGCATACGTTGAGGAAACTGTCAAATGACACCGGGCGTAGTGCATGTCATCGCCCGAGTGGAATCCCAATGGGAAGCGATGAGTGGGTTGTCACATTGAAGGTGATATGGAAGAGATCGTGTGTGTTGGATGAGGAAATGAGAGTCTATGGCCAATCTTGTGGCTAACCAGCTGAAGAGGATGGCTGGAGAAAACAGAAAAAAGTGGAGATAGGTTGTTGTTGAAGCCAGCCTTATGTTCCACTCGGAACCCAAGGGAATAATAACAATAACAATGACATTGGAGCAGCTTATCTATTGTAGACAAGGATCTTTCACATTAAATGAGATATAAAACATAGTTGAAATTAGATAAACACAAGATGCTCTGATGCAATATTTTTTATTTGTTTTTTAAAATTTGTAGTCTCTTAGCAAAACATGACATTCCATTGATATTTGACGTCATACATTAGTGATAATATATGCTGTGTTTTATTGCTAATATGTTCAAAGTCTAATTCATAAAATATCACAGTAATAGAGATTGACATCCGATAAATTTGAGAGTAAACAAACATTGAATGAAAATAAGTTTATAGGAAAGAAGTAGTAATAAGAGAGGAATTGAAGTAAAAAAAGAAAGCTCAATAATTAGTGACGTCACGATTTCAAAAGGTACCATAGTTACGCTGAACTAAAGAACTAGTACAGGTGTTATTAAACTTGAAAAGAAAACCTCCGTGGGAGAAATCTGAAGGAAGTCACTGCATTCATTTATTTTAGCAGCATCCTTCCAGCTAAAGGCAGTGGTACGGATAAGGATGTCAAAGCAGGCCAGGATCGGAAAGACAGGCTAAGCAGGATTTTCATCATTCTGCAGTCAGTGTGCAAATCTACCTCACTCAGCAAAAACAACTAAATTCAGATTTTCAACATCAATGTTAAGTCCATTCCTCTAGATGTATTAGAAACGAAAAGGATTTCTAACAGGCTACTACTGCAGACTACTTTTACCAACAGCTGCCTACCTCAGTTCCATAATGAAGATCGAAAATGGCCAGAAAGAATAAGCAGCAGAGAACACTGAAAACCAACGGATAAAGAAACCATTGACCAACAAATATTCCGCAGAAAATGCAGATGAATCGGACACACGCTGAGGAAGCAATTGGGTGAAATCACGTGCCAAGTTCTTGTGTGGGAGACGAATAGTAAAACGACGAGTTTGGTATGTGTCCGAGAGTGATATGAAGCAGAGAGTGTATGAGAAGGAGATGAGAGCTTTCAGACAAACGCGAAGCCAGATAAAGAGGACTGCAGAGAACGGGATGTAATGGAGATGTGCGCTGCTGCTGCTGCCTTATGTTCCAGCACAAGGAATCCAAAGGAAATAATAAATATAATAAGTAGTATTAAAGTATTTAACACAAAAATAACTGTAAAATAGTTGCAAGTAAGTAATACTTATTTTCATCCCGCCATTATTACATGTCCTTAGTTTAAGAAATAGCCTAATTAAGAGAAATTATAAAGGTGTAAAATGAATGTTCAATAAGAAGGCTCAGTTGGTATTTCTATAAGTAGCTGAGTGATTGAATTTTAAATGACGAATTCTGAAAGAAATCTCTGGAGTTCAACTTCTCACACACCATGAAACACGGGTAAAGGCATAGAAAAAAATGCAAAAAAAACCGTAAAAGACAGAAACTTATGGTAGAAATGTTAAATACATGAGAAATAATGAAAGTTCACTGAATCGAGGAGTGAATGCATCTTTACCATAGAAAACAATTTTGAGTTGTCATCAACACCTTCTAGTTATTATTTATTAGAGTCTTTGGGTCTTTAACCAATCAGTCTACATCTTCCCAAGTGACTCAAATTAACAATCAAAGAATTTGTGAAATTATGACATGTTTTAGTTTGATCACCTCCATTAACTGACTGACTGACCGGTTTCAACGTAGAACTACTTTGTACAGATGTGCAACAGTTCGAGTTATCACACTTTACTTAACACAAAAGGCAAAAGAAGAGAGTAAAAAGAGATTCAAAACAGAGATAATAAACAGAAATATGAGTGAGGCGAAAAGAATAGTAATATCGAAGAGGAATGGGATTTTATTGGATATTATGAATCACAAAGAGTAAATGCACTGGCTCTAACCATTAAGAACGATTCTGAGTCATATCACCAATTGTCTCCAGCTATTAGTTCTTAGAATCCCGAGGACCCAAACCAACCAAGTAGTCTACACCTCCCTAGGTGACTGTCTTAAACTAACTGTTGTGGATTTCATTGACTGACAAAGCCTTGTTTTGGTTTGAGCATCACTAGCTCTTTTTCAACCTGAGAGGTTCTATGTCAGCTAACATTGTCCATCGAGGAAGGCGATGACTAGGCATGCTTAAAACATGTCCTAATCATCTCAATCAGTGTAACTGCACAACCTCGTTAATTGATTTCCCCTCTCAACCTAGCACTTGACCGATTCCTAACCTCAATATTGCTCACCTTATTATACCACTTCACACAAGAGAAGAGACTCAGGCACCTATGATCAAAGACACCTAGCCAGCCTTTTCATGTCTTCCACTCTGAATGGCCATGTATCACAGCCACAAATGAGGAGGAAGCGGACTGCTGAGCACTATACACGCCCTTTGGTCAACATCCAGCCGGATATCTAGTCTGCTTCAGAGATGGCCTAAACTGGCATATGCGAAACGAGTCTTCTGTCTCCGTGGTGAAATTTTGTCAGCGATCAAGCCACTAGCGATAGCTGATGCAACTTCCCAAATAAGTGAAGTGATCACTTCCAACTCTCTACCAACTCAATTCTATGCTCGACAAGGAATGCGATAACTCGATATTCGTAAAGAGCACCCTGACTATATAAATTGATGCAGTGGAAAGACTCCAACTGACAGGTTTGCAATAGACTCGAGACATGACCATTAAAAATGTAAGGTATGAAGGAGAAGGCCATTATTGTAAAAAAAATCTCGTCTTTTATGATAAATGAAAAACAAAACGACATTGTTTTAATGCTTGACGTCCGACTGCAGATTGATATCACTTAGAGAACCATTGAAAACCAGGCAGTATTGGATGACTGTTTGGTCCTAGTTTGGAACTCCTCAATGGTACGCATCCACTTGGACTTGAACCCAGGACCTTCCGTTCACAAGACAAGCTCGTATACCATTCAGCCACTGGGACCCTATTCAATACCTAGTTCATGAATTCTAACTTCTACGTATTCGTGATTGGCTACAGGATGGAGTTACCACGATTTCTAGTGAGAAGTCGTGACCAGGGGCTTCCATCCGGTCAGGAATAAGGATGAAGTCCCACTGATTACATTGGTAGGTGGTAACGCTAAAATCAGGAATTGGTAGAAGTTAGAATTCATGGACTTGCCAGTGAGTTGGATCTTAGTGGCTGAATAGTCTACGAGCTAGACTTGTAACCAGAGAAGCCTGGATTCGAATCCCAGTGGGTGCATATTGCTGAGGAGTTCAAAACTAGGGTGAAACAGCTATTCAGTACTCCTTGCTGGTTTTCACTGGTTCTCTAACTGATATCAATCTACATTCGAATGTGAGGCAAATCAAATCTGTACAAACCAACACTTAAAGATATTGTTTTCACTGAATGTTTTCTATTTAATGCTAATAAGTTAACCATTTCTGACCATATGTATATGATGGCATAAGTAATAGTGAAGTCAGAAGTAGAGTTTTAACTAATTTGGAGAAAAATTCAGTAGGAAAACTTCAAGTATTTATAAATAGGCTAGAAATGAGGTTTTTATACAGACTAAAAAATTCTTACTAATTATGACATATACAACAAATAAAAAATAACAAGCTTACTAAATTGGCAGGTCTATCAGTTGTCATCCAACGACGTATATTTGGGCCATAGGCAGCATCAGCAATAATACCGCATAGTATTTCAACAAGCATGCCTAAACCATATCCTTTATAACCACCTTGATTCAGAAATGATGAAACAGAAAGGAAATAACAGAACGATAAGAATAAAAAAAAAACAGACGCATTTATAAGTGCATTACATATTTCTTTCTATTCATTGAGAATAACAAACAGAAGACACCATCAAATTTGATAATTAACCTTTAGAAAATCATCTACAAATAATTTCATGATGTCATTTTGTAGTGAGTAACAAATTCATTGGTAAGATAGAAACTGTATTCTAATGTTCTTTCCATTTGAACACTGTTCTACAACAGGTTTCTTTATAGCCACCCTCTTCCTCGACGAGTAATCTTAGCTGACATAGGGTGGATTGGAAAACAGTATGGTTTTTTTTCCTTCAAGTTCCCCAGTGGAACATAGGGCTTCAAGCTAGTGGCTTGAAGTTTCTGTAGCAGTGTTTATTTTACAGGATGGGGCTGCTAGCCTCATGCCCAACCTTTCCTCTTCACCAGCATTATTTCTGGCTTAGTGAGGTTAAGGAGTGCGTCGGCCGGGGATCGAACCCCGGACCATATGCATGAGTATGGGGTTAGTCAAACCAAAACCTAGGAAGAATGTATAAAGACTTTGACACTTGGTTTAAGACACATAAGGAGGTGTACACTACCTAAGTGGGGTCCTTAGGATGCTAAGATCTTAGGGTTAGAGGCTCAAAATATTTCTCAGTGGCTGAGGTTACGTTTCATATCCATTAAACCCTCAAATTATCAATGTTATTATTCTTTCAACCTATATTACAGCTTATAATTGTTCTTTAGAATCGTTTTTTTCTCTTATTTATCTTTGTGTTACATGGACTGTGGTAACTCGAACTAATGCACTTCTGTGTAAAATTCTACGTCGAGTGTTAGCCAGTAGTTAGTAAGCTTCTTTAAAGTCGTCCCAACTGTTTTTATTACTAACACACCACTTCTACTTTTTTAAATTCCTGTACGTTCCCAGTGGAACATAGGGGTTCAAGCTAGAGGCTTGAAGTTTCGGTAGCAGTGGTGTTTATTTTTACGGGATGGGGCTGCTAGCCTCATGCCTAATCTTCTCTCTTTACCAGTCTTATTACTGCCTTAGCGAGGTGAAGGACTGCGTTGGCCGGAGCTCGGTCCCCGGACCATAGGCGTGGTTGGAGAGCATTCAACTACTGTACCACCGACGCACATAGTATTTCTAGTTAAATTCTTCTATGTTGAAATCTTTGAATTCTTCCCCATTTTTCTATTAAGACTATTCACTAAATTATCCTACAAATCGTGAAACCCTTTTAATAGGTTACCACTTAACTTCTGACATAATTTCAGAGTTCGGGCTGACAGAAAGAAATAACCGCACTCTGAAAGAGAGGCTGACCACAAAGGGCGGTAACTGGGAGACAGAGCTTCCACTGATTCTGCTAGCACATTGTGCGTCCGCGCAAGAAACGACGAAGAAAGCACCGTTTCAGTTGATGTACAGGAGAGAAAACCACGACTACCGATTCATAACAAGATCTGGTCTCTCCATCAGCATTGGAGTATGACGAGATGCCGGACAGAACGGAAAGAAGCCATCAACAATGTAAAACGAAAGCAGAAAGTGGACGCTGTGAAAACCGAACAGAGGGTAAAGGAAAAGTACTTCGCATTCGAGATCGGAGATCAAGTCAAATGTAGAGATAGGCGAAGCACCGGCGGATACGTGCCAGGGTCGCGAAAACTGCTACCAAAGTGGGAAGGACCATACACGGTCACCGCGAGACGGGGTCACGTATATACTATCAAAAATGCAAAAAGAGAGAAGCGGGTGAACGTCAGCGAGCTCCAGAAATGGATAGAGCAAGACAAACCAATGATGACGCCAGCACCAAGAAGAACAAGCCGACTTCAGTCCAAACTATTTGACGGGGGAACGAGTGTGGTGAGAGCTGGGTGCTAGCCAGATTGGTAGACGGTAATTTACGTCACTGTTTACCTCCTCAATATTGGTCGTGAGAAAAATATGAACAAAGACTAATTCAATGACCAATCACAGCAGACTTTGCGTTGGCGAATACAATTTGCAGATAGATCATCTGTGTTAAAAGCCCTTTTTTTAAAAAAACATTTCACAGTAATTAATTATTTAGGTATTCAAGTGTTGGTTTGTAGGGATTTGATTGATTAGTTACAGGATTTCACCATGAACTGACATCGGTTAGTGGGCCATTGGAAAACCTGCAGGGAGTACTGGACAGCTGTTTCGTCCTAGTTTGGGACTCTTCATTAGTACGCACCCATCACAGGAGTTCGAGCCCAGGACCTTCTGGTTACAAGCGAGCTAGCTCGTAGACCATACAGATATTATTTAGGCCATAATCAGTTGAAAAGAAGTCAAAAAATCCTTATACACTTATTGTCTTCGCTTTCTGCAGGTTTATACTCTTCAGTTGAATTGATAATAAGATTGTAAATGTATTATCGATCGATGATTGTATACATAGATTTATACAGTTATACACACAAAATTGTTAATTCTAACATGATCATCAGAGATAGGCAATACCCGCTGAGTTGAAGTGCATGTGTGCGTGTGTCTGTTTGTGTGTGTGTGTATGTTTAATGTTTATCCCAATTAGACATTTTCACAGTTAGTCAAAAAGAAAAATGCAGACTTATCTTTAAAAGTAGTTTATCAAGTATATCAAGTATTCAAACAGACTAATTATTATTTTTAAGTGTCAATCATTTTAGACAAAATGGAATTGATTTTAAGATTGTGATGTTGGATGTGTTTATGATGTAAATAATATAACTGTTTTACTGTGATACACAGGTGGGGAACAGTATTTATGTTGGGAAACTCTTAAGGCTCATCACTCTTGTGACTTGATATAGTATAATGGAAGCAGTTTATGTTTGATAAAATAAACAGTGAAACGGATAACTGATAATTACTGAATGTTCAAGTGTTGGTTTGTAGGGATTTGATTGGTTACAGGATTTTCATCATGAGCTGACATCGGTTAGAGAACCATTGAAAAACCTGGGAGTACTGGATAGCTGTTTCGTCCTAGTTTGGGGCTCTTCTACTGATGAAGAGTCCCAAACTAGGACGAAACAGCTGTCCAGTACTCCCAGGTTTTCCAATGGTTCTCTAACTAATGTAAGCTCATGATGAAAATCCTGTAACTAATTACTGAATGTGTCTGGAGTTGTGGCTGATTGGTGAAGGTGGGTTACACATATAAAAGCCAAATAACTTTGGCCTACCAGATTTCATACACAATAAGTGTAACTCTCTTCCTAGTTTGGTTTACACTCGGTAGATGGTTAAGGTGACAGGGAGAGAGAGAGAATAACACAAAATTTCACTTTTTATAGTAGTGAAATCAAAGGAGCTGCAGCATAATTCCCAATGACTTCGATTCTAAACATCTTGTTCTACTGACATTAATTGTAGTGGTTCTTCAAACACCAATCGAAGAGTTGTCATGCAAGAAAATATTCTCACCCCAACACAACTAGGCTTCATCCTACGACACCAACTCGTCAATTGACCACTTATCCACTTCCTCCAATCAGTCTCAAGAGTGCTAAACAGTGTATATTACGAAAGCCTTTCAGGTGAAAGTTGAAACACACATATCAGTGCCGCAAGACTACTTCCTCTATGAGTAGATAATAGCCTCATTGGATAATTTCAAACGGAATGCACTGCGTGCATTAACACACACAATCACACAATAGCGTGGGAGAAGATTGAAATTCTGCCTGGTTCATTGAGTCTACACCCAACACGTGCAATAAGAATGACTCACCACACATACCGGAAATATGGAAAATACTACTACTACCAATCATCAAGTCAAGCGATGAAAAATAGTGATGGAATTATTTAGACGAAGTTAGAAAGACTTGTGTGAGTGGTGCCTTGATATGATTATTAGCGGCAATGAATTGAGCTCGAAACGTGCTCATTAGTAAATATTACTGTATAACACTGTGAGACTTTATCAAAATAAATTATACCCATAATGAATACGATAGGTTTAACTTTACACAATGAAACATTGTAAACCCAACTTTTGGCCACCATACCATATTTACATCACGGCATTCAAATTACATATCCATGTCCATATGTGAGTCTCTGGCTTTTGAAGTTTGGCTGAAAATCTCATCCACCAACCCTACTCCTTTCTCAGCGCTCACACAGCAAACTGTTTGTATAGAGTTTTCGAATACTACAATTTGGGTAATCTGTGCGTTATACAGAACATCCTACTGGAAATCGAGTGTAGTATCGCCATATCTATTTCCGCAGTGGTCCTGGATGTAATTCCAATTTCCACCGCTTCACTTATTTGGGAAGTACCATCAGCCACTGCCAACGAGTTGATCTCTGCCGAAATCTCAGTACGAATACCGAGGGCTAGTTTCGCATATGCCAGTTTACGCCATCTCTGGCTTAGTAGACGTGGTATCCGGCTGGCTGTCGACCAAAGGGCGTGTGTACTGCTCAACAGTCCGCTCTGTCCTCCTTTATGGCTGTGAAACCTGGCCATTGAGAGCGGAAGACATGAAAAGATTAGCTGTCTTCGATCATAGGTGTCTGCGTTCTATCTCCCGCGTGAAGCGGTATAATAAAGTGAGCAATATTGAGGTTAGGCCTCAGTCGAGTGCTAGGTAAGGCGGGGAAATCAGTCGACGAGACTGTGAAATTACATCGACTGAGATGGTTAGGACATGTGTTACGCATGCGCACCTAGTCATCGCCTTCCTTGACGGGCAATGTTAGGTGACATAGGGTCAGGCTGGAAAAGAGTAAGCGACGGTCAAACCAAAACATGACCTCATCAGTCATTGAAATCCACAACAGTTAGTTTGAACCAGCCACGTAGAAAGATGTAGACTTCCTGGTTGGGGTCCTCGGGATGGTTAAATCCAATGGTTGGAAACAAATGGTGACATGGCTCAAAATCCTCGTTTCCAATGGCTGGCGTCGATGCATCCACTCCTTGTGACTTATGATTTCCAATTAAACTGTTTTGTTCTTCGTTATTGCTATTCCTTTGTCTCACATCTCTGTTTACTATCTCTAATATGCATTTCTTCTACTTTCTTCTCTTGCTTTGTGTGGTACATGGAGGGAGTGTGGCGACTTTAACTGCCACACATATGTGCAAAGTTCTATGTCGAAAACCGACCGACCGACCGTATTTCCACTGCATAATATACATGCATTCGCGTATGAATAATTCTTAAAGTATTGTCATAACATTATTATGCACAGATCCATTAATTCATCATATCAAAGATGACCTGAGATTCCCGCTTTCAACCGATCCATAACATAATCCCTTGATTAATTTTCATGATGATGTCTGTAGTATAACGGCGACTTACATGTTCACACACAAACAAACATCCACAAAAGATTACAGGTCAAATTGTCTGAGAACCTTACAGTATTATAAATCTATTTAGATAAAGGAATAATAAGACGTAATTTGTCTGAATCGTGTAATGCTGTATTTGCGCAACACTTATTTCGAACAATCTGATCACACACGGACTTGTCATAGGAATACACATATGAAATTAATAAAGAGTTAAGAGGTGAGAAAATAGACTACTTAGGTCAAGTTAAAAGGACATATTCAAGGTCAAAATAACAATGAAGACCACTAAACCAAATAGCGGAGGTAATAGTACATCTACCCTGGCTGCTATCAAAACAAATCTTACCAAGTAACGTGGTTTAGTGTGATGACGAATTGTTTTTGAACGCACACAAGTGGTTTAAACTCTCTAATTGCCAGCTAGGGCTTCCACAAACTTTTGGATACACCCCAAATACGTTTTATAGATAGGTTTAAAAGATGTGCTAACATCAATTGTATGTCCTGTCTCTATAATATGTTTGGCAATAGAGTAACTAGGTCTCCTGTTCGCACCATTAATGGGTTCTGAAGATTCCATTTGTTTCTAAAAATCCATTTAGGAATATCCTCTGACAAGTCCGTGTATGATCAGATTGTTCGAAATAAGTGTTGCACAAATACAGCATTACACGATTCAGACAAATTACATCTTCTTATTGCTTTGTCTAAATTCATAAAGGGAACTAACTAAGCATCGTTTCAACTACAGGCGGGAGGAACTGACGAGGATATCAAAGCAAGAATCGGAAAAGCAAGACAAGCTTTCATTACTCTCAAGTCTGTGTGGAGGTCAACAGCATTTAGCATCAAAAATAAAATCCGGATTTTCAACTCCAATGTGAAGTCACTGCTACTATACGGATCAGAGACTTGCACTGCGCGTCATAAAGAGCATCTCAAACAAACTACAGACCTTCATTAATAGCTTCCTTCGCTCAATACTCAAGATCAGATGGCCAGAAAAGATCAACAACAGTGAACTCTGGGAGCGAACCAACCAGGAACCGATTGTGAAACAAATAGGCAGGAAGAAATGGAGATGGATTGACTGGCCATACTCTGAGGAAACAAACCATCAAGTGACATCACTAGACAAGCCATTGCTCGAATGGAACCTGAAAGGGAAGCCGCGAGTTGGTCGTCAGTGCAAGGGTGACTTGGAGGAGGTCATGTGAAGAGGAGATGAAAGCGTGTGGGCAGACTTGTAGCCAGGTGAAGACTCTAGCAGAGAACCGAATGCAATGGAGACGCACGGCTGAAGCCCTATGTTCCTCTAGGAATTAAAGGAAACAATAATAATATTATAATAACTGTTTTATAAATCTATTTTAAAAAAGGGTAGTTAAATATCCTAGAATAAGAATTAACGACTCAATTCTCTCAAAAGTAAGTTTGTTTAAAAAAAAGCCAAATAAACGCCCTTTTGTTATCTATACTTAATTAGATGATATCATATTATCAAGGTATATGATTTCACCACAGATAGATAAAGGCATTCTTAATATTAAGGGAGGCTATAAGCTACTTATCTGTATACGTGTTTTCATCAGTTTCAATATTGACTTTTATTGAAGAAATTTAACACTAAAAATAAATATTTTATTTTCTAAATAAAATTAGTGAAACATACTGTGTTCTTCTTCACCACCGAGAGGCATTAGTCCACCTTTTGTGACCACAACAGTTGGATCGAGTGATGTCTAATTTGGAAATAAAAGAAAGCAAATAAGCATAATAATAACTATTATTATTATAATGTGAGAAAATAGACTTAGGTCTCAAGGTGAAAGGACATATTGAAGGTCGAAATAAAAATAAAGACCACTAAACCAAATAACAGAGGTAATAGTGTAACAACAGACGACAAGGGTCAGGCAACAGATCGTTTATTAAGGAAAATCAACACATATTTATCGATTTTAACGTACATTATTGTAGATTATTGTTAGTAGAAAAAACAGTCTTTTGATTAGTTGTTTCTCATAGAAAGTTAACCTTGCATCTCCTTGTGGCTGTGTCAGATCATCCATATGCTAACTGTATCCACCTACGCAAAGCCTTTGTTCTCATCATTTTCTCACCACCAATATTGGGGACATAAACATTGACGTCAATTACTGTCTACCAACTTTGGCTAGCAGTCAGCTCTCACCACAATAGTACATCTGCTGTGGTATCAAAATTCGTCATCACACTAAACCCACCTTACTTGGTAAAGTGTTTTGATATCAGCCAGCGTAGATGTTATTTGATTTAGTGATCTTCATTGTTATTTTTACCTTCAAAATGTCCTTTTACCTTGACCTAAATAGTCTATTTTCTCACCTCTTAACTCTTTATTAATTTCATATATATTCCTATGACAAGTTAGTGTGTGATCAGATTGTTCAAAATGTATTGCGCAAATAATAATAATAATAATTTTCTATAGTTTGGTTTGTAAGGATTAGTTATGTTTTACGATTTGATTACGGACTGATATCAGTTAGAGAACCATTGAAAACCAGGGAGTACTGGACAGCTGTTGCGTCTTAGTTTGGGACTCTTCATTAGTACGCACCCATCACAGGAGTTCGAGTGTACTAATGAAGAGTCCCAAACTAAGACGCAACAGCTGTCCAGTACTCCCAAGTTTTCCAATGGTTCTCTAACTAATGTCATCTCATGATGAAAATCCTATTACTATCACTAGCGAGTGACTTGCTACAGGTTGGAGCTTCCTGCAGTTCTAGTGAGAAGTCGTGACCAGTGAGGTCCAATTAGAAGTCACGTGTGTGGATGGATGTCCCACCAACGACAATAGTTGGGGTCGCGCTAAAATCACGAATTGGTAGAAGTTAGAATTCATGAGCCATTGAATCGGGTCCCAGTGGTTGAATGGTATACGAGCTTGCCTTGTAACCGGAAGGTCCTGGGTTCGAATCCCAGTGGGTGCGTACTGCCGATGATTCCCAAACTAGGATGAAACAGCAGCTGTCCAGTACTCCAGTACTGGTTTTCAATGGTTCTCTAACTGATATCAGTCCGTAATCAACTAGTAATATTAATAATAATAATAAGATATAATACAATTAGTTTCCTTTATGAATTTTGACAACACAAAAAAAGACGTAGTTTATCTGAAATGTGTGTAACGTATTTGGCGAAAACATTTCAGACATTCTGATCACACACACACACACACACACACCAGCACTTGTCATACACAGTCATAAAGAAGGCATGAATCATTACAATACAGGTCAGATTGTGTACAGGTTTAGGTAAAAAATAATGGGTAGGGAGATGATGCAAGTGTTTGGGTAAGAAGAACAAAGAACAAAGAAGGGAGGGAGTGAAAATGTCATCAAGTAAGTCGAACATTGGTTCTAGATTGGGTTACCAATGCAAGTTTGAAGTAATAAGAAATAATATTTGGACACATTAGACAGGTTTAATCCTTTTTATGGCTAAGGCTTCAACGAATTTAAATATGTGACCCAACCTTGTTTTATATATGGGTTTAAAGGCATTACTGAAATCAAACTTAAGACCCATCTCTATAATGTGCTTCGCTAAAGATGATGCTGGACATCTGTTTCTGGGATCAATTATATCCGGCAATTTTATTTATTACAGGATTTTCATCATGAGCTGACATTAGTTAGAGAACCATTGGAAAACCTGCAGGGAGTACTGGACAAACGTTTCGTCCTAGTTTGGAACTATTCAACAGTACGCACCCACCGGGATTCGAACCCAGGGCCTTCTGGTTACAAGGCGACCTCGTATACCATTAAGCCACTGGGACCCGACCCAATGACCAGCTCATGAATTCTAACTTCTGCCAATTCACGACATAGCGCGACCCCTAGCCAATGTCTTCGGCGAGTATTTGTCCTCACGCCCGACCTGCTGCACCCTACTGGTCACGACTTCTCACTAGAACCCCAGGTATACGAGCTCGCCTTGCAACCAGAAGGTCCTGGGTTCGAATCCCGGTGGGTGCGTACTGCTGAAGAGCCCCAAACTAGGACGAAACAACTGTCCAGTACTCCCAGGTTTTCCAATGGTTCTCTAACTAATGTCAGCTCATGATGAAAATCCTGTAACCAATCAAATCCCTACAAACCAACACTTGAATTTTATTTGTTGTTGCAGCCACTTTGGAAGATGTCCTCGAGCCCTAACCTGCAGAAATAGATGTTCAAAATCATCTATAGCGAAGCACATTATTGAGACTGGTCATAAGTTTGATTTCAGTAATGCCTTTAAAGCCATGTATAGAACAAGGTTGTGTCACATAGTTAAATTAGTTAAAGTCTTGGCCATAAAATAGACTTAAACCTTTCTTATGTGTCCAAAAGCTATTTGTCATTACTTTAAACCTACCTTGGTAATCTAATTTAGAACCAAAGATCAATTTACTTCATAACATTTTCAACTCCTTGTTTGCTTTGTTCCTTTTCTTTTTTTCTTTCTTACCCACACCTTTGCGTCACCTCCATACCCATTATTTGTGACGTTGACCCATACACAATCTGAACTGTATTGTAATAATTCATACTTTCTTGCCTCCTATAAAACTATGTATGACAAGTACGCGGGTGTGTGTGTGATCAGAATGTCTGGAATGTGTTCCGCAAAAACACTACACACGTTTCAGATAAACTACGTCTTCTTATCGTGTTGTCGAAAGAAGTAAATAGACATTTCCTAATGTATAATACATCATGGAAGTTTTATTACTTTCGAGTCAGAGAGAATTATTTATTTCAAGTTTGATCACAGCTTTATATAAATCAGCAAAACATTGGGAAGTCAGGAAAACTGGACAGCCATTTCGTCCCAACTTAGAACTCTTCAGTAGTGTGTAGTCACACACACACACACCCGCACAAACTATCGATGCTAAAACCTCCAGATTACGAGACGATCTTGTTGACTATCCAAGTAATTGAAAGGAATTCAGCGAATGGCTCATCAAAATAATGGATACTGAACAAAGAGTACTGTTTTCGATAAATTCATCATCAGGCTCTACAATTATATAAACATTATAGTGAATGAATGAATTAGTGTTATGAACAACGTTAATGTTGTTTAAATAACATCGAATCAATAATATTGATAGATTACAGCTGAATAGCATCAACATAACAGTAAACTGAACGTCAGAAAAATTAGGAAAGATAATATTACAAATTCATGAGTTTACAGTCTCTACTGAAAGCCAACCAGGGCAGTAGTAGGGGTTGGACTTGCTTCTTTTGAACACAGAGCACACAGGCGAATTGCAATAGCCTCTGCCGTTTGGAGCATGCGGTGCTTCGATGATTCTGGTAATTTGTTAGGCACCCGGTTTATTTTAGAGAAGGATTCTTCTACGCTGACTTTGTGACCGGTTTGCACCAGATGGTCTAATATCGAACTGTTAATGGTTTTCACTACACCTTTACTTAGCCATAGTGGGATATGTTTTCGAGCACGAAAAATCAAGTTCCTAGAGCAACGGCCAATATAACTCGCTCCACAAGCGCAGTTGAATTGATAGATACAATTTGAAGTGGCTAGTCTAGGTACCTCATCTTTCAGTTGAGGTAGCACCATCGGTCGTGTAGAGAATAATACGTGTAGTTCGCCAGCTCATCCATTCTAACTTCTGTTGTTAGCGTTACGGACAAGTTAACGTCATCGGTAAGTATATCCTCACACTTGGGATGATACAATCCAATGATCACAAATTCTCAATAGAATTCCAAGCAACTACATCCTGATGTCAGCCACTAGTAAGACCAGTTGTCAAGTGTTTCTTTGGAGGAATTTGAATGATTCCAAGTTAGACAATGGATTGAATAACAAATTGTACCAGATCGAATTAACAGGAGTTAGAATTCATGAGCTAATAGATTCCGTCCCCCTCACTAAATGGTCAACGAGCATTTCTCGTAAACGGAAGGTCCCTGGTTCGATTCCCTGTGGGATGATGGATGCATACTGCTGAAGAGTCCCAAACTAGGACAAAATAGCTGTCTAGTATTCCCTGGTTTTCACTCATTCTCTGAATGATACCAAACTATGACCGGACTAGAAACTAATCAAATACCTACAAACTAACACTTGAAAAAGAATTATTTATCTCTGATACGATAAAATGATACAAGATTATTGTAAGCAGTCAGTCAGTTAGTTAATAGACGGAGACAAACTTCACATAAGAAGTTATGAAAAGTTTTTGTGCAACTGTCTGACTGAATATTCCCCGCACTAAGCGATTAGACGATCTTTTACATCAACCGATTAACCTTCTGAACCAAGTTTATTCGAGAAAAAGCCATCACTTAGGGGGCATAGGTTGAGGATTTCGCTTCAGAAGAGTTTCTTAGCTTTATCTTATTTTAAATCAATTAGTTATACGTCAGGTAATGAAGATCGTCTTTGTTGGCTTCGGTGAACTGCATTTGTGGCGTGTACTACTTGCAAGAATTTATAAGTAGTACTTTGTGTGTGTAACAGCCTCTAGAGGGAGATAAATCAGGATGCGAAGAAGGCGAATGCAGATTCGTATGAAACTATATGGAAGCGGTAAACAAACATCAAGAATAAACAGAATATGAATAACTTTTGCAAATTACAATTTCTATTTTGAGGTTTGTCGGTGTCACTGTCACCATCATTTAACCTAGTAAACAGTCCAGCTAGCAAATACCATTGTGTTCTA